GAAAAATTCAAATATGTTTTTATTTCACAATTTTGAAGTTCACTCATCAAAGTTAGGTATGTAATCTGGATGTATGTAAAAAAAATATTCGCTGAGAGACTAACTCACTAAAATTAAGTGTCCAAATATATAACTCGAGTCGGTCTGAATTAATTAAAATAAAACCTTGGTATTGAAAAGACAATAAAAAAATATTATTTTTTATATTTATTTAAAGGAAAGAACATGTGGGAACGTTTTATTTTAAAATTTTATTAAGAAATATCTTTCCATTTTAACGACCCAAGGTTCCTAAAACAGCATTATCAAGCAATGTCAATGGCAGGAATGTTATTTCCAATAAAATTGAAAGCTAAATTGGACCGAAAGTACAAGGTAAGATACTTGGAGTGAAGTCCCACGCGCGCGTCAGCAAAATTTAACGTAGAGTATTTCAAAGTTCACTTTTCTTATAAAACCAGAAAATCGAACTGGCTTTTGTTTTATTTAATAGTTTCCCATTATTGGAGCAAAAGAAAACAAAAGCTGCTTCAGTTGTGTTTAACTTTCTTCATCACTTTTTTATTTAGAAAATCTGAAAAATCAATTTGCTTATCTGTTCTTCGGATTGAAGACGAGCAAGAAGAAAGATTTAAAAGGTCTGCAAAACAAAACAAGGTTATTGTTATAGTCGAAAAGAACAATAAAGAGAAGAAGGAAAGATGGGAGAAACAGATCATCATCATCACCCTCCGCCACCGCAAGTCGTTGCTCCACCGCCGGCTCCACCGCCCAATCTAGCGCTGTCGAGGGGACCTACTTGGACTCCTGCTGAACAACTCCATCAGCTTCAATACTGCATCCACTCCAACCCTTCTTGGCGTCAGTTTCTCTTCCTTATTTGCTCTGTTTTTCTCAACCATTTACCCTTTGATTTGAAGTTTTTACGTTAAAGTTTACTTTTGGTTTCTTCATGGATTCTTTTCCTTATATACTAAGAAACTTTTGTGTATCATTTTGTTTGATCCTTTTCTATTTATCTTGTCTGTCACTCCTTTTTGTACATTCAATTCTCTGTTTAGCCTAAACTAGGATGAATCTATGCATTTTTCCGGATATTCGAAATATTCTGATATAGTTCCGACTGTAATCCTTCAAATATATTAAAAAAATACTCTTTGTATCAACTTGTTGAACAGCTCAAGCGCTTTTACTGGCGTTCCAGCACTACATTGTGAATCTTGGAACTACTGTCTTAATCGCAAATACTTTCGTGTATCGAATGGGTGGCCATCATGTATGTTTTATGATCGGTATAGATAAATTCAATAGTGCTTTGGTTTTTTTACTGGGGTTGATGTCATTTTTATATCTCAATCCTTTGTATGATATGAACAGGGAGATAAAGCCAGGGTCATTCAAGTGTTGTTGTTTATGTCGGGAGTTAATACGCTGCTTCAAACGCTTATTGGCTCGAGACTTCCCACGGTGATGGGTGCTTCATTTGCGTACACCTTACCGTTGTTGTCGATCATCAATAATTATACCGACGAGGCCTTCGCATCTGAGCACGATGTATGTAAGCTTTACTAATGATACGAGTGAACCAAATTCCTACTTCTTCATTTGCATACACCTTACCGTTGTTGCCTATCATCAGTGATTATATCTTGGAACTGACATAGTATACATTGTATAACTAAGTCGATGTACATGCTCAATAGATTTGTTCATTCCTTATTTAGTGTTCCTATATTCCTTGCGCATCATTGTCTATTACCTTATTTCTTAATGACTGTGATCCGGACGCTTCCTTATGCAGAGGTTTGTTCATGGTATGAGAACCATTCAAGGGTCACTAATTGTTTCTTCATTTGTCAACATCATCCTCGGGTATAGCAGGGCTTGGGGGGAGCTGACAAGGTAATATCGAATGTAGTTTTTAAGTATCAAGCTCCTCAGCTGCTTGTCAATTGTTGCTTAAGGTGCTTGTTCGGTTCTCATCATTGGTTTTCTAATAGTTCTCTTTAAACTTTTCCTCTCTAGATTCTTTAGTCCCATAGTTGTGGTACCGGTGGTTTGTCTAGTCGGTCTCGGTCTGTTCACAAGAGGCTTCCCATTGGTAATTTTCTTTGAACACTTATTTGCTTCATTGGGACTGGTTATGTACCAAAACGAACTGTGCTTTGATGCAATTAACTTATGTTACAGCTCGGTAATTGTGTGGAAATCGGCCTTCCTATGCTGATTCTGCTGGTTATTTCTCAACAGGTGAATATAAATTACCGTGAGCATTATCTCTCCAACTAAGATTCTTCTTTATTAATTTGATAATAATACATGTTTGCTGCAGCACCTGAAGCGCCTCCATTCGTGGGCTTATGCGATAGTTGAGAGGCTTGCTTTGCTTTTTTGCATTGGAATTATCTGGGCTTTTGCTGCTATCCTCACCGTGTCTGGTGCTTACAACAATGTTAAGACTGCCACCAAACAGAGTTGCCGCACAGATCGATCTTTCCTAATATCATCTTCTCCATGGTATGGTTATGATGCGCTGCACTCCTTGTTTGATTGAGAGAGAACTGAATTCGCAAAGTTACTCTTTTTTACGAGTCATTGTTTCTTGTTATTGTTTCTAGGATTAAAATTCCGTATCCATTTCAGTGGGGCACTCCTATTTTCAGAGCTAGCCACGTCTTTGGGATGATAGGAGCTGCATTCGTTTTCGTCTGCAGAGGTTTGGTCACCATCTTAAAGGATTTCGATTCTATTTAGTATTCAGTTTCACTCCATAATATTTGAAGCTTTACCCTGCATCAAGCTACATAGACTTCATTTAACATGTCTTGAATCTGAACTTCTATATGCCCCTTTGTACATTTTCTCAGTTAAAAAGAGAGAAATCAGCAGCTAACGAACATTTTCTATGATTTTAACTGCAGTCAACAGGAACATTTTTTGCAGCAGCTCGCCTTTCTGGTGCAACGGCCCCTCCGGCACATGTACTCAGTAGAAGTATTGGCTTACAGGTCCTTCCTAGATTGTCTTCGGAACTTATCCATCGATAATTTCTATACTATAACAGACTGTAGTCCTGATTCCTGAATCTTGTGAGATTGGCTTGTTTTTGGGGAAGTTAAGTTATCTTGCATTTAAATGCAGGGTATCGGAATGCTGCTTGAAGGGCTTTTTGGTTCTCTTGTTGGTACAACGGCATCAGTGTAAGGCTAACCCCTAAACACTAAACTCTAAACCGTTACTAATAGGAAGCACCATGTCTCGTCCAACTGATATTGCAGTGAAAACGTTGGCCTTCTCGGACTTACGCATATAGGAAGCAGAAGGGTGGTGCAGATTTCGACTGCTTTCATGATATTTTTCTCCATATTTGGTTTGTTTTCGTACTCGATCATTAATTTCATATTTGTATCGTGTTTATTCAAGATTGCCTACATTCTTCCAGGGAAATTCGGTGCATTATTTGCCTCTATTCCATTGCCAATATTTGCTGCCATATACTGTATATTATTGGGCGTTGTTGGTGAGTAACCTGCGTCAGTCATGATAGTTCTTCTATCCAATATGTATAGTTTCTTTAATTCGAAATTTCCGTCATCCATCGTTGTGCAGCTGCATCTGGGATCACATTCATACAATTTGCAAATAATAATTCCATGAGAAACATCTATGTTTTGGGCGTGTCTCTATTCCTCGGGCTTTCGATTCCTCAATACTTCGCAATGAACACAACTTACGACGGTCATGGACCTGTTAGATCAGATGCTGGATGGGTAAGTTCATGTTCTGCAATCCCGAGTTCCTCGTCTATTAACTTCATCTGTTTGGTATGACATCCGGTTATGATCCATGCAGTTTAATAACATCTTGAACACAATCTTCTCATCGCCTGCAACTGTGGCGATCATTGTCGGGACGGTGCTTGATAACACACTAGAAGCGAAGCAATTGGATGATCGAGGAATTCCGTGGTGGAAACCGTTCCAACATAGAAAGGGAGATGTTCGAACTGAGGAATTCTACAGCTATCCCCTCAGAATAAATGAATATATCCCCACCAGGTTTCTCTGAAACATGGTACATTTAGCGTGTGAACTGTAATACAGACATATTTCATGTTTATATGCACCAGACAGACGTGTTAAATTATTTACAGATAACTGTCAGTTTTGGCCAATGTGTGGAACTGTAATTGTCTACAGCCATAGTTCATTTCTTTACAATTTAGACTCTTCGGAGTCTTTTTAACTTTTCTAGGAAGGCAAGTACCGACTACTGAAGTAGATGATGAAATAATTTACATTTAAGCCACATTTGGTACATAAACTATGGTAAATTACGTAAATGGTCATTGATGTCTGAATAAGTTTCTCTTTTTCCCATTTGATATTTCAAAAATAACGACTTGATCACTAACGTTATGATTTATAACAAACCGATTACTCACCATTAACAACCGTTATTAGAATAATGGAATGCTGATGTGGCACATTACAGCCACGTTGACCGCTCTATAATTCCATAAAAAAATGTTTTTTGAAACCAGGAATTGTCACATTTAAAACATGCAAGCCTTGATCAAATGATATGGAACCCAAGTTGGTGATGTAAAGTTAGATAGGTTTGATTAAGTGAATCTGGTCTCCCCCATGTTTTCAACAAGCAAGGCCCACACTGTCTGAACTTTGTTATTGCACTCAAATGCCATGCCAAGTTGAAAATCCGAGGTTGTCCACATCTAAGCTGCACATGTTGTAAGGAATATGGAGAGGTTATTTTATGCATGCTCTCTTATGCTGGTTGCTTTACTATTACTGAATAAATTCTCGGCACTCAGACAGAATGTACTCATTGTTTTCCCAGAAACACAGTGACATTCATCTGTGTTTGATAATTAATGCCTGGGGCTCAGGCATTCATTCACAAAATCTTACATTCTCTTAAAAGAAAGAAGATAAAAACACCAAGAGAAATGGGGAAAAGCCTTAAAGAAATACAGAAAAAAAAAACATATTGGCTTAATGCAATCCTAATGTTAAAGTTGAGCTTATACGCTCTCTAACTTCTCTTGCTATCACATTTCTCATTACATCCCAAAGCTCCGCCGGTACTCTCTCCTCTCTCCTCCGACTCCCCATCTCCGCCACCACAGTTCCAGTCCCAGGCGGCGCTAGAGTCAACGCCGTCGACAAAGCTCCCCCATCCACTATCCCACCCTCCATTTGCCGATAAGTACTCTTCAAGACCTGTTCCTTCCGATGTTGCCTCCTTTTCAAAGTCGAGTTCCAATGATTCTTCACGGCATTATCGGTCCTTCCAGGAAGCAATCTAGCAATGGTGGCCCAGCGGTTACAGTACCTAGCCTGAGCGGCCAAGATGGTGTCGTCCTCGGATTGTGAAAACGGACGATGGTGGACGTTGGGGCTGAGCTGGTTACACCATCTAAGCCTACAAGATTTCCCTGATCGACCCTTTATATAACGGCTTATCAAAGACCAGTTCCTAGGTCCGTGTTTCTCGACGAACCGAGTCAAGATCCTATCTTCCTCGGCACTCCATGGACCTTTGATCTTCTCAGATTTGTTGGAAGCCATTGTTGACAAAGATGACTCTGAAGAAGAAGATGTATCGGAGGATGAAGATGAACACCCTTTCACGGCTTCCATTTTTATCAAAGGCAAAGAGAAGAACACGTATGCGATGAAAGATGAGAAGGAAGTGGTTTATATATGAAGGAAAGGTTAGGCGTCCACCGAGTAGAAGGAACTTCTGGGAAAGCGGCTTTATAACTTTTATTTATTTTAAAATGTTTAACATATAGTATTTTTTATTAGTCTAAAATTATTATAAAATGATATTTTTTAAATAATTTTTTAATTATCTGATAATAAATGTCAATACATTTTTTTTATAAAATTTCGAATCTAAAATTTTTAAAAATAGGAACTTAAGATTTAATTATGTATTTGAAAAATGAGATTAAACTTACAATTTATCATATTGGGAAGTATATGTTTCAAAGCTCGACTCAGGATAAATTTATAAAAATAAATATACTAATTAAATCAAGATTTAATTAATTTAAACTGAAATCAAATAATAATAATTAAAAAGTGAAATTCTGCTGTGACACAAGCATAGAGTTATTGGGGGTTTAAAACATAGGCAGTAAGCAAACGTTTTAAATTAAATTAACACAGGAGAAAGTGGGGTCCGCATAAATTTTTTTGAGCTCCAGATTTACAGCTATTGACACCAATCATCTTAGAATTAAAAGAATTATTATTTTTAGAGGTTATGATTTTGATTACTAATAAATATAAAGATAATTAAATGTTTATTGATAAATGATTGAGAATTTTTAAAATATATATTAATTTATAATAATTTTAGCTTGACTATAGGGGATGACTTCGACGTTCTCCACGTAGGATGGGCCCATCATCCAGGCTGTAAGAATCTCACGTGATTCTAGTCCAATTCCCTTGACTATGTTGGTCATTAAACAGTTCCCCTTCCACTTCTCCCTCAGGAGCGGATGTACTTGATTATTAATCTCAAACGATCAAAATTTGTACAATTTTTTTCTTTTGTAAAACCTAGATGTTTCAAAATAAACACAGTTAACAATAAACACCGTTAAGCACATTAATTTAATTTATAAAAAATTAAAATTTTAAAAATTCAACGTATAATTATAAATTAATTAAAAATCTAAAAGTAAATTATTTAAAATAAAATATTAATTATATTATTTTTTATATATTTTAAATAAATTATACAATTGACCACCTAATTATTGTCTCTTTTCTTTCTTACCATCATATTTGAAATTTTATCAATTAAATCACTCAGTTATTTAAATGCATTCAATCAAGTCACTTATCGTTAACATTTAAAGAAGAGTTGACGCGACAGTTAATAAAATTATCAAAATATTAAATATTAACACCAAATGACTTGATTAAATATATTTAAATATATATTATCATTTTTTAAATTATATATTATATATACGAGATGAGTGAAGTATTTGGGGGTATGATGCACGCGCATTAGAGGAAAAAAGGGCAAGTCGAAAGAAAATCGAAAAGGGTGATTGAGATAATAATCTAAAGTATTGAAGAGACACTTGAATGGTTGAGAACAAGGTAGGGCCATTGTTGTCTCCTTCCAAACCATTTGCCGGTTCATTTTTTTTGGGTTCGCATCAGAATGAGTTGCTTTCTCCTCTTTCCTTAATTTTTATATTTTAGTTTATTATCCATGAATAATTAATTGTATTCAATATTATTTAAATAAATCTAGACTTCAAACTTTCTCTAAAAAAATATAAATAAATTGATTTATTATAATATTAAAGATCACATGTGAGTTCGTTTTTAAACATTGATTGGGAGCAGGGAAAATGCGTGATGATGAGAAATATCCTTTCATGATTCTCTTGAATATATATATATATATATATATATATATATATATATATATATATATATATATTATAATTTTGATCATACTGATTTTGTATTAGAATAATTTTATATGTAATGCATTAGACATATATCATGTGTTTCGTATAATGTGGTAAGTTAAATTCACTCACTCATTAAATAATTTGTTTTATTTTACTATCAAGAATATGTCAGTAGGGGCGTTAATGAATAAAAGGTTTTGTGAATTGTTCGTATAATATTTGTTTATCAAGTTACATAAATGAGTATAAACAAAATCTTTATGTTCATCTAATGAACGAACGAACATGAACATGTGTGGGTTTGGTTCGTTTTTGTTCAAGAACAATATCATTTACTTGATTCTCATTTTTATTTAGTTTTTCATATTTTAAATAATGGCGAAAGTAGGGACTAAATTGAACATAAGGTAAACTTTGGAGTTCAAACTGTGAAGTCCAAAGCAATGAAGGACCAGTAGTGTAATTTTATTATTTGTCTTTAACTTACAGATAAAAAGGTTAAAAAGAGAGTGATGCAAGGCAGCCCGTTAAATAAGACCTCCTTCGATTATAATGGATCTAGAACGAGTAAGGAATTCCCTTGCATAAAGTTACTAAAACAAATGATGATGCTGTTGGTTTTATGGCTAAGGTTATGGACGAAATTGGTTAATAAAGGATGAAGAAAATAATGGATTAGATTGTTTGAAATTTTAGAATGGTGTAAGCGTAAAGATATATACTTGGTGAAGATGACAATGGTTGAAAAGAAGAAATATGAAAGTTTGGTTAATAAAAAAAGAACAAGGAAGAACATATACTAAAAATTATAAACCTGAACCTTATACATTTAATGTTCAAAGTACTTGGACCCGTTAGATAGCAATCTAAGAACCCGAAGTATCACAAATTTGACACAACAAGAACAGACTTGAAATGTCAAGAAATAGTTCTAAGAAGAACCAACATTGAGAGAAAAACCTCACAATAATTTTTATTCATAAAATGTCTAACCATCAAACTTACAAAGTTACAAAATATATAGAGAAAAGAATAGATATGGTTATCCATCATTTGTGGATACAAAATAATTAAAGTTTGAATTAAAACTCAAATGAAAACTACCATATAACTTTCTTTGTGATGACGCCCTTTTGTGTGGCTGCAATTGCAAGATTTTAACACATTTTGCATGTGTTAAATGGGTGGATAAGGGAGTTATAACCGACCATTCATGGAAAGAGTAGTTGAAAATTCAAACAATTTCACATGTGTTTTTAGTTTGAATTCAAATATGCCCATTGTTGAATTTCCACATTTGTTCACAATTTCACACATGTTGTGCACTCTTGGATAGGTGTATAACATCCCACATACTACTCACATGCTTGTAGGACACTCTCTTACACGTAGGACATCTTTAAGCTGCTTTTGGACTTGTCAGCTAGAGTTGAGCTAGTGGAGCTGAAGTTTAGCTGAACAGAGCAAAGGTGAGCTGAATTCAGCTAGCTGAAAATATAGTGAGTTTAGTTGAGTTGAGATGAGCTGCATATACTCCTTTGAGCTTCAACCGAGCTAGGATTAAGACCTTAAGTTGCCTCCCTTTATTGTTCGTATATGAAAAACACAAAAACATCCATCAAAGTATGGCAAACTTATTGTAAACTTATTAATAAGCTGAAAATGCCATGCAAATGCACTTATGAGATATAAACCTTATTAAAAACATAAAGTAATTAGTATATATATTGAACATACTTATATATTTAATGAAACTAATACAAATACATATAATTACTTAGTATAATTAAGGTGATGTTACACATCAGTATGTAACACATTGAAAAGCTTAGTTTCTAAGGCATAATCATTATGGAATGATTCAGAAACTTGTAAACACTTAAGAGAAAGAACTTCCCTGAAATGCTTTACCTTAGAACGAGTGATAGGTCCTGTTGGTAAGATCTCCAGATCAACATCCTTTGCTGGCATAGATATGCTCACATCATCCCCCATCTTGAAAAATATTTGATCTCAAATCTACAGAAACATCATAAGGGGATAAATAAAAAATATTAAATGTAGCACTTATATTGAATTCACCTGGTAAATCCAACTTGTAAACGTTGTCGTTCACTTTCTCCAACACTTGAAACGACCATATTCTCGTGGTAACAACTTAGAACGTCGTTGGGTTGGAAAACGTTCCTTTCAGAAATGAACCCAAACCCAATCTCCAACATTGATAATGGCAACAAATCTATAGGAGTTAAAGGATTAAAGCCATAAACAATCGCAAACGGTGAAAACTTAGTAGCATAATGAACAGAATGGTTATAGGCAAATTCAACATATGACAAACACTATTCCCATGTCTTAATGTTTTTTTTAATGATGGAACGCAATAACGTAGATAAAAATGATTTACAATCTTAGTTTATCCATTAGTTTGAGGATGATAAGTAGTATAAAACACCATTTTCGTACCTAATTTGCACAAAAGAGTCCTCCAGAAATGACTAAAAAATTTACATCCCTGTCAGAAACAATAAACCTAGGAATTCCATGTAAATGAACAGTCTCTTTGAAAAATAAGTTAGCCATGTTAGTAGCATCATCAGTCTTATGACACGTAATGAAGTGTGCCATATTTGAAAATCTATCAACCACAACAAATATACTATCTCTGCCTATCCTAGTTCTAGGTAATCCCAACACAAAATCCATCGAGATATCTAGCCAAGAAGAATCAGGAATGAGTAAAGGCAAATGCATACCGTGCAGTAGAACCTTTGATTTTGCTTTCTTACATGTCACACAACGTTCACATATTCTTTCAACGTCCCTGTGCATCTTAGACCAAAATATATGCTCCTTCAGAATGTGCAACGTCTTAGTGACTCCAGAATGTACTATGATTCCACCTTCATGTGCTTCTCGAACAAGAACTTCTCGAATTGACCCTTGAGGAATATAGATTCTTCCTTCTTTGAAAAGATAGCCATTATGTCGATAGAACTTCTCATATGCACTTTTTTCACATGACATGTATCTTTCTCCAAAATCATAGTGGCATATAAATCTTTAATATAAACAAAACCAATTAAATGAGAGTCTAAGTAATTCAGAAGTACATACCTGCGGGACAAGGTATCCACTACAACATTGTCTTTGCCCTTTTTATATTGAATGACATAAGGAAAAGACTCAAAAAATTCAACCCACTTAGCATGCCTTTTATTCAGTTTATGTTGACTTGTAATGTGTTTCAATCATGATCGATGTGAATAACAAACTCTTTCGGCAAAAGTTAGTGCTGCTACGTCTCAATTGCTCGAACTAATTCATACATCTCCTTATCATAAACTGGATAGTTTAAGGTAGCACCACTCAACTTCTCACTGAGATATGCAATAGGCCGTTTTTCTTGTGACAAGACTACTCCAATTCCTATACTTGAAGCATCACACTCAATCTCGAACATTTTATCAAAATTAGGCAAGACTAACACTGATGCCTTAGTCAAACAATCCTTTATTTTCAGAAAGGCTTCTTCCTGTTTATTACCCCAATTAAATACAAAATTCTTCTTTATAATCCAGGTTAATAATGCGTTAATGGAACTGAAATTAGGCACGAACCGATGATAAAAACTAGCTAAACCATGAAAAGATATAACCTGACTTATCAATGTCGGTCGAGGCCATTCCTAAATTACCTTTACCTTTTTAGGATCGACTTCTACGCCCTGTGCTCTAACAATGATACCAATAAAGATAAGCTGTCAGTACAAAATATACATTTCTATAAATTACCGAACAACCTTTCTTTTCTCAATGTGCCAAGAACATTTCTCAAATGTTCCTCATGTTCCTGCAGAGACTGGTTGTAGATAAGAATAACATCAAAATATACAACACAATATTTTCCAATATAAGGACACAAGACGTTTTTAATTAGTCACATGAACGTACTAGGTGCATTAGTTAAACCAAAAGGCATCACTAACCATTCATACAAACCCAATTTCGTTTTGAAGGTTGTCATACATTCATCGTCTTCTCGCATTAGAATATGATGATACTCACTCTTTAAATCTACTTTGGAGAAGTTAATCACACCACATAATTCATCAAGCATATCATCAAGGCGAGGAATAAGATGTCGATACTTGATAGTAATTTGGTTCACAGCTCAACAATCGACACACATTATCCACATTCCGTCCTTCTTTGGCACCAACAGCACTGATACAGCACACGAACTCAAGCTCTCTTGAATGTAACCCTTCTCCATCAACTCAGTGATTTGCTTATGAATTTCTTTTGTTTCTTTGGGATTACTTTGATATGTTGGCCTATTTGGAATATTAGCTCCCGGGATAAAGTTAATCTGATTTTAATGCCCCGAATAGGTGGCAATCCACTCGGTGTCTCATCTAGAAGCACGTACTCAAATTCCTGCAAAAAGGATGAAATAGAAACAAGAAAATTAGAGGGAATTTCAGCCAATAAACAATGCTCTTTATACATTAAAATAAAGACTGTTAAGAGGAAAGACATTTCTTGATTTCCTTTCTACTTGCGTACACGCTCATCTTTTTCGTCCCTTTTGCTTCTTCACTATTCTTTTTCAAACGAACTTGATCTTCTTGCACTTGACTTGGTGTGAAAGGTGCTAAGGCGATTTTCTTACCTGCATTCATAAAAGAAGATCTATTTGTGAAACCATTATGCATCACCTTTTTATCAAACTGCCACGGATGTCCCAACAACAAATAAGTGGCATCCGTTGACACAACATCACACAACACTTCATCCTTGTACTTTTCAATGGTAAATGGCATAAAAACTTGTTTAGTGACCTTTAAATCTCCACCATCATTCAACCGTTGTAGCTTGTACGGATTGAGATGCTTTTTCGTTTTCAGTTCTAACTTATCAACTATTATAATACTTGCAACGTTAGTACAACTACCACTATCAATAATCACAACAGATACCTTGTCATTTACAAGACATCTTGTATGAAAAATGTTCCCTCATTGTTGTTCATCTTGAACCGGTTGTGTATTCAAACTTCTCTTAACCACAAGTGCTTCACCTGTTGCACATGTCTGCAATTGGTCATCATCTTCATCATCCTCCGCTAAAGGGGTTTCTTGCTCGTCATCTTTGGATTCAGACTCTATATCCCCATCCACACGCATCAACATTGTCTTTCGATTAGGACACTGACTCACAACATGCCCTCTGCCAAGGCATTTAATGCATTGGATGTCTCTTGTACGTTCTGGAGGCATATGTTGTTTTCCACGTCCAACTTCAACAACAGAAGGTTTCAGGCTACTAAATTTTGTTCTTTCCTTAATCTTAAGTGGTGCTTGCTTCCTGACATTGTTAGGAGTGGATAATGGATTGGAGAAAAATTTAGAAGGAGTATTACCTCGGTTAGAAGATTTTCTATGTTGTTGTTGTTCTATCTTGATCTCTATATGCGCCATGTCATCTAACTCAACATAATGCTACAATTCAACAACGTTAGCAATTTCAAAATTCAAGCCTACAAGAAAATATGACATAGTTACTTCTTGATCTTTCTCGATATTTGCACGCATCATGGTCATTTTCATCTCATTGAAGTAATATTCAACACTTCGATTACCCTATTTCAAGTTTTTTAATTTCTGAAATAAATCACGATGATAATGAGATGGAACAAACTGTTTCCTCATGATTCACTTTATTTCTGCCCACGTGTTCACTAGACCCTCACCAGTTCTTCTTATACTAATCAACAATTGATCCCACCAAATAAGAGCGTAATCGATAAACTCCATCGCTGCCAAACGAACCTTCTTTTGTTCTAAGTAATTATAACACTCAAAAACATGCTTAACCTTACTCTCCCATGCCAAATACACATCAGGATATGTTCGTCCCTGAAAAGATAGAATTATAACTTTTATGTTAGCCAAAATATCATCAAATACACGCCCTTGTCTCTGATTCAATCTCGGAGGCTGATCAATTTCGTTTTCATCATTAATCTCTTCATTATGATGAGATTGAGATCCTCCATCGATTTTATCCATTCTAGAGTGTAAAGGCTCAAGTTCATCCCTTAACATCATCTGTATCTCACGAGTAATGGCCTGCATTTGTAAGTTTTTTGGTTGACCACTCGGATTGCTATCACTAGAACCTGCCATATTAGTAAAAAAACAAGACAACACAAAATATATAATAATTAATGTATATAGGACCTCACAACACACACACACAAATATTCTCACAATTTCGCTCCAAAGAAATCAGAATTGGCACTCAATCACTCAACACTCGTGTTTCACTCTAAAGAAACTTTTAATGGCTCTTTTTTGTCTCCCCTTCTGATATCACACACTCAATATGCCTTGTCCAATCATTCACTCGTAATCAATTCTTTTACAAACTAATTTCGATCTTTCAGAATTTGTCTAGTGTGTCGGCTAAAGGAAACAACAACAGTTAACGTAAATTGGAAAATAATGAAAGGAAAGGCTAAAATTCAAAGGAAACAAAGAAAAAAGAGATGAAAAAGAAATCATTAAACTTACTACAAAGAAATGCTTACAACGAGCCTTTCACCGAAACAATCAAAGATGTTGCATTTTGGATTGAATCAAAGCATTTCAATATTGAAGAACAAGATCATTGCACTTTTCTTCATCTTTTTTTTCTCTCAAAATCAGAAACTTTTCTTTTTTTCGAATATTGACTTTTTTTATTTTCAATTTTTTACTTTCAAATATGAATTTCTTACGTGGTTTAAACCTGACTCTGATACCACATGATATGAGGTAGCCTGTTGAATAAGACCCTCTTCGATTATAATGGATCTAGAACGAATTAAGCAATTCCCTTGCAAAAAGTTTACTAAAACAAAGGATGATGTTGTTGGTTTTATGACAAAGAGTGATGCGAGGTAGCCCGTTAAATAAGACCTCCTTCGATTATAATGGATCTAGAACGAAGTAAGGAATTCCCTTGCATAAAGTTACTAAAACAAATGATGATGCTGTTGGTTTTATGGCTAAGGTTATGGACGAAATTGGTTAATAAAGGATGAAGAAAATAAGGGATTAGATTGTTTGAAATTTTAGAATGGTGTAAGCGTAAAGATATATACTTGGTGAAGATGACAATGGTTGAAAAGAAGAAATCTGAAAGTTTGGTTAATAAACAAAGAATAAGGAAGAACCTATACTGAAAATTATAAACCTGAACCTTATACATTTAATGTTCAAAGTACTTGGACCCGTTAGATAGCAATCTAAGAACCCGAAGTATCACAAATTTGACACAACAATAACAGACTTGAAATGTCAAGAAATAGTTCTAAGAAGAACCAATATTGAGAGAAAAACCTCATAATAATTTTTATTCATAAAATATCTAACCATTAAACTTACAAAGTTACAAAATGTATAGAGAAAAGAAGAGATATGGTTATCCATCATTTGTGGATACAAAATAATTAAAGTTTGGATTAAAACTCAAATGAAAACTACTATATAACTTCCTTTGTGATGTCGCCCCTTTGTGTGGCTGCAATTGCAAGATTTTAACACATTTTACATTTGTTAAATGGGTGGATAAGGGAGTTATAACCGGCCATGCATGGAAGGAGTAGTTGAAAATTCAAACAATTTCACATGTGTTTTTAGTTTGAATTCAAATCTGCCCATTGTTGAATTTCCACACTTGTGCACAATTTCACTCATGTCGTGCACTCTTGGATAGGTGTATAACGGCCCACATACTACTCACATGCTTGTAGGACACTCGTCCACACGTAGGACATCTTTAAGCTGCTTTTGGACTTGTTAGCTAGAGTTGAGCTAGTGGAGCTGAACCGAGCTAAGGTGAGCTGAATTCAGCTAGCTGAAAGTGTAGTGAGTTTAGTTTAGCTGAGATGAGCTGCATACACTCCTTTGAGCTTCAACCGAGTTAGGATTAAGACCTTAAGTTGCTGCCCTTTATTGTTCCTATATGGAAAACACAAAAACATCCATCAAAGTATGGCAAACTTATTGTAAACTTATTAATAAGCTGAAAATGCCATGCAAACACACTTATGAGCTATAAAACTTATGAAAAACATAAAGTAATTAGTATATATATATATTGCACATACTTATATATTTAATGAAACTAATACAAATACATATAATTACTTAATATAACTAAGGTGATGTTAGATATCAGTATGTAACACATTGAAAAGCTTAGTTTCTAAGGCATAATCATTATGGAATTATTCAGAAACTTGTAAACACTTAAGAGAAAGAACTTCCCTGAAATGCTTTGTCTTAGAATGAGTGATAGGTCATGTTGATAAGATCTCCGGATCAACATCATTTGCTGGCATAGATGTGCTCACATCATCGGTTGCCGAACATTAAACAAACAAACACTAACACCTTTAACAATAAATAAGTGAACATGAATACGTTAATGAAAATTTAAACAAACACACCGAACATAAACACCTTTGAAAATAAACAAACTAAGACGAACATAACTTTATTTGTTAAGGCCGATTCATTTATACCCCTATTGTCTGTCGAGCGTTGAAACCTATGTAGTTCTTTGAAATCTCCAGAACTCTATTTTCTCCAATGCTATGTATCCTCCGAGATCCATATCTTTCAGTGTTCCTCGAGGCCTGCGAAATTACACGTCTCTCAAATAGTTAATAAAACCTTTAACATATTTATATGATGTATCAAAATTATAGATTAAATATAATTTACTATTTAATGGACTGGAAGATTATATCTAAAATTAAGTTTGTCTCGGAAAATGTCATCCGAGCACTTTCCAGTTTCCAGTAACAGCATTAATAAATGATTTAAGGGTGAGTAAAAGGATCTATGGATATAAGAGAGCTGCTTATTTGGAAGATTGCATCCCCAAGAAAGTCACAGCGTTTGCTTGCCATTACCATCCCGTTCAACTCTTGCAATTCCTCCTCAACATTATTCCTGTTGAATAACAAGTATCTTAAAAACAGCCCATTAACAAAACTGAAAACTATCATTTTATTTTGCAGGTGTGTCAAAGGGGAAAGGCAGAGAAAGAGTGAAGTCAACTTTTGCATGTAGAATTACTAGGGGTGTAAATGAATCGAGCTTGAACGAATAAGGGTACGTTCGTGTTTGTTCGTTTTCTTTTTAAAGTGTTCATATTCGGTTCGTGTTCGTTTAAATTTTTAATATCGTGTTTGTTTGTTTATTTTTGATGGTGTTCGTGTTCGTTTGTTTAACATTCACAAACATGTTCATTTAATATTTGTGAAAATGTTCATTTAGTGTTCGTTTAACGTTAGTGAACATGTTCGTTTAGCGTTCGTGTTCATTTATATAACAACACAAGCATCAAATAAAAATAGTCGATATTTAGTGAAAATTTTCATTGTACACGATGAAATCAAATTACCAAAGCTATGTCAATAATTTCCAGTCAATTAACAATAAAACTTCAAATCTCCATTAGTCCTATAATAGTCTTGAGAAATCCTTTGAATCTAACCAACAAAATAAAACTAGATACTAACCTCAGATTCTCAATTACTCATAATAGTTTTCAAAGCAGGTAACAAGAAGCCAAATCAAGGTTCATTTGAATCTAACCACGAAAACTCTTAAAATACTGTAATACCCTAATTTTGCCCGAATCGAATTGAAGATATTCAAGGATCAGGTTGAAGGTTATTTCGAGTGTCGATGTCAAATTAAGTGGCATCGGTAATAAACGGGTCGTGGAATTGTGCATTTGACAAGAGCGTTGAATGTTTTGGTGCTTATTTGGATTTGGAACCATGCATATTCTTCATAGATATAAAGCCCAAATAGAACTAATTTTTTCTTACAACCCAAAATTAAATGTTTAAGTGTCCACTTTACAAATAAAAAACATGTCACCCATTACATAAAACCCCAATGCTACACAAAGTACAAAAGTTCAACCCATTAATTGACCCATTATCCATTCCATTCTATTCAAACCCAACGAAACCCAAACATCTAGGGTTGCTAACAAACCCTATCAAATGAAGAGGGTCACAGCCGCCGCCGCACGTGGCCCCCCTTCATCTTTCAACTTTCAAGCCAGCAGTCGTGGTCCTAACAACCAGCAACATCATTAGCCCCCAGCAGGCCCCACGTGAGCACCAAACTGTGGTCCCCCATCCACGATGCATCCCTCTTGTCCCAGCAGCCATGCACACCGAGTGGTCCTCTGCTCACCACGCATGCAACAAAATAGAGCCTCCCTCGCCACATTAGAGTCGGGAAGTTCTACAGTGCGGTAGGCTTAAAAACGACTAAAATAAAGTGTTATTGGTTTTGTTATCGTTTAAATAATAAAATTGGTAAAAATTACCTAAATTTTTCCGGTAATTACCTAAAATATTATGTTAGTCCGGTCATATTTTAAGCCTAATGTTTCCGGTATTTTT